TTTAGAATGACAAGGGAAAATTGTAATTTGCATTTCAAAGTCTCACCATACCTACAGATGTCTAATAAGAAAGCTGAAAATACAGAGATATTAAAATAACTGATATGCCAGACACGGGGAACAAGTTTGAATTGAAAGGGAAATGAGAATCATGATACCGTCTGCATAATTTGAATGATATTTTCAGCAATGGAAACCTTTATACTATAGCAAGCATTGAAACACATACGTCTATGCATGCATAAATGGCATACCGACAATGAGGTAATTATGATGTTAGTAGATGTTGCTAAAATGATTTGGTAAATGTTACTAAAATGTTTATGGAATGCAGTCACTGTCAGCCCCAGATGTGAACAGAGCAGAGATGAATGAATTGATTTGCAGCCATTCGGAAGAATTTGATCCTTTATTGTTGCATCATAATCCTCCTGAACATGTCACTAGTGTCATGTTATCCAACCTCAGGAGTCTGGAGCCAATCATGCGCAGACAAACATTATGAATCCAACCTCACCAGACATAAAATTCTGCAAATATATTTTATTTGCCTCATCTGCATCTGATTGAATTGTTCTTCTATAGTGTATAGTAAGTGTAGTACCTATTGTGGGAATAAAACAAAACACCAGAGACATAAATTTGCATAGATGTGCCGACACCACAAGGTATGCGTCTTCTGTTTTGCTTTCCAATCATCCAGAGAACCTCTGGACCGGGGGAGGACCCCCCCCTGAATTTCCCCTAAGCCCAAATTTACAGACATTGTAGAGTAATGCTTGCCTAAATGTTCCCATAGGCACAAAAAAACAACAATAATTAGGACAGTCAGCATGATAGGTTCAGAAGGGGGATTCCATTTCTTTGGACTCACTCCTGTAAAAGTCTCCTGATGCTCAAGGACATCCCAATTGGTATTAAAAAAAGCTGAGGCAAGTGTTTACTATGGAGATGCAAGCTCATATGCCTGGCATACCAGGCAGGAAGGAGAAAACAAAACATATTGGTTATCTAAACTCATACAGAACACAAAATCTGGTTGACTGATAGAAGAGCGGATCTGGATCACTGTCTTTCACTAGTGATGACTTTTTACAACTACTTCATTGTGCTAAGTGACAACCACACCATACTGCCATTGCTTTAAAGTGATATTCAAAATGGTTTTAAGCTATTTTGAATGCTGATGAAATCACTTACAATGAATGCTGCTCCTCGATGTTAAAAAGTTTTAGCGACCTGCAGAATCAGCTGGTCCCCTGAGCGCTGGCCCTGAAATCTTGTGTTAGGGTGGCTCTTTTACCTCGCAGGGTCCTGTAGAGCCACCCTTGCGTGTGGTAGTAAGCTGTGTGTGTTTCCACAAACACACAGGCACAGTTGGGCAAGCCACCTACCTCCTCCTTGCTCCTCACTCCTCCGTTCTCCAAGCAAGTAGATAGAGTGGATAGCTGATGGAGTCTGCGCTGTTCCTTGTGATATTGTACTGAACAGGAAGTTCAGGGAAGCAGAGCTGAGAGAGTTGGAGCCAGCTGTTCCTGATGACTGTAAGGGCTTGGGCAAAAACGTAAAGAAATACTTTTCTGGGCAATGTATATTTGATCTGGATTCATTATTGAAAACGAGATTAAGAGTTTAATACTACTTTAAAGGAAGTTATTGCCAAATATGTTTTAAAAATTAGAAATAAGACCAGGGCAGTATCTTGAGATTTAGCTGTCCTCGATTTCTAAATTACATATTTCACATTTTAAATTGACATATAGCCCTAAACCATATGAATAGACATCAAAGGGTGGTGCTTCTCTATCGTAAAAATGTGCTTTCGTGGTCTATACCCCAGGCACCAAATGAAATGCCACATGAGAAAATGCAAACAGCACTAAAAAGGTCAAGAAAATAAATAACTTTCCCTTTTTTAGTACAAGTCAATATGAACAATATACAGTTTACATGGATTTTTTTTGTAGCTAGTGATATATAAGCCAGAAACAGCTTTGAGCGCATCCTTAGTTGCCACAACTATAACTCTAACCCCTCCACAACTAACGGGGGACCTGTAATGCTTTCCCATTTTATAATTCAGCAGCCAATTGCCCCATGACCTACAGCAGACTTCTTACCCACAGAATTGTCTAGATCATACAAGTTTCTCAACCAGGAACGTTTCCAAGCTCTGTAAATCTTTCTATGGCTAGCAAAACTTAAAGCAAAAGATAACATTTGTGAGCTGCAGAACCTTCTTCAGGAAAATAAAGTCTAGTGAGAGTATGTATAGAAAGAAACAGTTATATCCACCCATTAACCTTGGAGCTATTCCAAACCAACCTTATATTAGTGTTACAGTTCTAAATTTCTGACCACCCAAAATGTTGATCTTGGGTTTTATGGTTTGGGCAAATTAAAAAGGGCCATGAATGGCATTTGTTTTTAATGAAGTACATGTAATGAGAGAAATATGGGGGCTACCAAGGCCGATTTTCTAAGAATACTTATTATCTGGCTGCCTTTGATGCCAATAATTTGTGTTATGTATCTGGAACAAGCATAATAAAAGTCAAAGTGAAGTGGATGAGCATGGCAGTCAGAAAGCTAGCATTTTCAGATGGTCCAATTCTCTCAACAGTCTACATTTTCTTAAACATAAACCTATAGTCATCACTCACTAATACATTGGCTTGTGGGTTCTCTCCAACCCTTTCAGTTCTTTTTGAAGAAGCACAATGATAAGGTTTCCATGGGCCAGATTCTACTGAGTTTTAACTGAATGCGGAGGTGGAGTCCAGCATGTTTGACCTTGCATCATGATCTATGGCTTTTCTAGACTTTAGACCAGACTTTAGCAAACTGTCTACCATGGAGGAACCCTTGAAATGAATTTTAGGCCTCAGAGAACCCCTGCTAAAAATCATCTAAAGCTCCCTGTGCATTAGCATAATCAAAAAGTTGTACATTTAATAATAAAAAATAAAGAACGCAGCATACTTAGCATATTCTGACACCCAGAGTGTCTCCTAATTTTAACACACTCCTGCATTACACGGCAAGATAATTTTCATCAATAACCATGAAATAAAACTGATAATAATACTGCCCACATTGGTGGTCTGTGGTAGAAGGACCCCCTTATATTGGAGGTCAGTGGAGAAATGCCACCTTACATTGGTGGTCAGTGGAGAAATGTCACCTTACATTGGTGGTCAGTGGAGAAATGTCACCTTACATTGGTGGTCAGTGGAGAAATGTCACCTTACATTGGTGGTCAGTGGAGAAATGTCACCTTACATTGGTGGTCAGTGGAGAAATGTCACCTTACATTGGTGGTCAGTGGAGAAATGTCACCTTACATTGGTGGTCAGTGGAGAAATGTCACCTTACATTGGTGGTCAGTGGAGAAATGTCACCTTACATTGGTGGTCAGTGGAGAAATGTCACCTTACATTGGTGGTCAGTGGAGAAATGTCACCTTACATTGGTGGTCAGTGGAGAAATGTCACCTTACATTGGTGGTCAGTGGAGAAATGCCACCTTACATTGGTGGTCAGTGGAGAAATGCCACCTTACATTGGTGGTCAGTGGAGAAATGCTCCCTTACATTGGTGGTCAGTGGAGAAATGCAGGCACTGTCACGTGGTAGATAAATGCTCTTCGCCTCAGAGAACCCCTAGCAACCTCTGCAGGAACACTATCAGGGTTATTCACAAAAGGGTGAAGAGTTTGGAGAAGGCAGGAGCTGATTGGGAAAAATTATCCAATTCAGCTCACTTTCCCGTTCAGCTATGTTGTCCTAGATTGTTAACTTCTCCTGCCTTCTCCAAACTCTTCACCCTTCTGTGAATAGCCCTGCTTGTCTTCACAAAATCCTGGCTGAGAAAGGCTGCTCTAGATCAAGATGTCATAGAAGTGCTGTAAGACATTGAGGGCAGAAAAAACCAATTGAGACCACTTGACTAATTTAAAGCTTGCATAAGTGAAGCACAATTGAAGGAGTTATTAATCATCACGGCCTCTGTATCATGATTTCCTCCTCTTATCTAGAGTATCATGGTGGGACACATAGTATATTATTATATTATAGTAATTAACACTGCTGTCAATATATTTTTAATGGCATAATATATACCCTACTAGCAGTGCTCTCACAGAATAGAGTAGAATTACACAATACAGACACACCATGATAATGCATGCAATGTCCACGTTTATTTGCAGGTGTATGCAGGAAAAACCTGTTTTTACTTTAAATTAGAAACATGATTCATTCCGCTACCAGTCCATTCAAAGTAACCAGTGCTCTTTGTAACAGTCTAGTCATAATCAAAGTACAATGTATGTTCATATCCAAGCATGCACAATCCCATTGCAGATTCAATATCTCTCACATGGAAATACAGTCAAGGCCAAAAATATTGGCACCCCTGCATTTCTGTCAGATAATGCTCAACTTTGCGCAGAAAATTGTTGCAATTACAAATGTTTAGGCCTAAATCTTTGTAATTGGAACAATTTTCTGCTCAGCGTGGTGAATTACCTGACAGAAATGCAGGGGTGCCAATATTTTTGGCCATGACTGTGTACATTATATAGTAGACATTAACCACAATAGATCTACATTAAAGTCCTTTTGCCAAGACATAGGTCTACTATTAGCAGACTTTAAGAGGTTAACTAAAGATTATGTCTTTTAGAACACCTTGAGCCATAAGAAGCTTAAGACACTTAGATTAAACAGTGTGTTCTAGCGTGCTGAGCACACAAATGGCTGCACAGGATTCTCCAACCGTCACAGTTGCGTCATCACTTCAGAGCGATCAGGAAGTTTTAGACAAAAATGCTAAATTGAAACTTCAGGGCATCTCTTTTCTTTCAAATGACAAGATAAAAAAATACAACGTGCATAGCAATGTCAGATCAACCAAAAGCAACAGAAAGCAGTATTTAATAAATAATAATGTGCACGTGTACTGGTAAAGGAGGTTAGAAATAAGCCAACTCACTTCAAAGGGATTTTTTTGATCCACTCCTTTGTCTGACTACGTCCATGCTGAAGCTGATATCACTGTAGAGAAAAAAAATAATCAACTCAGTATGCGCAGACTATGCGTCAGACATACATTCCTAAGGACAGAAATCACAGCAGCTGGGGCTCCGGGGAGCTGCAAATGTAGACGTATTTTATGCTGCGTGCACATACGCTTGTATTTGCGCCTGTGTGCATGAGCCCTGATCATGATGAAAAAACACAAAGTGGGGCTACACCTGTACTGCAATGGTTAACTGCTAATTTGTGTCCAGGTTCCAAAAATAAAGTTATACTCACCTGATCCTCAGCTCTGGCTTGCCCTTAGGCCGATTCCCTTCCGCCTTGCTTCCCCTCCGCTGCGGCAGTCTAAGAATCCTCGAGTCATCATGTTCTACACCTGTATAGGACGTGAAGACGTCTAGGGACATACATCGCTGCAGCAGAGGAAGAGACAGGCTGGAGGGAACGCTGTCACAGCTGGTTGGATCCAAGGTTTGGATGAGTAAACTTTTTTTTTTTCAACTTAGACACAAATGAGCATTTAACGCTTGCAGCGGGGCTGGGGAATTTTCCCCCCGAAGTTCTTCTTTAGTGAAAAATGCATGGTAAACTATCAGTAAATCCAAAGATATATAAGCAGCTGAAGTTTTATGCAGTTCTCAATGTTTTCTTGTAAACGTCTAGTTTGGCCCCACCCCTCCCACACCTTCCTTTTGATCTGTAAAGGTGGCCATACACCTGCCGATTATCGTACTATAATCGCGGGAAATCCCGCGATCGTACAATAATCAGCAGGTGTATGGAAGGCGTGCACCCGTTTCTACTGTGCGGTTGCCCGTCTTTTGTCTTACGAGCATGTTGGAAAACCAGCCGAAAATCATAAGGTTTTCGGAGGGTTTGTGGCGTACTCGTAAGACAAATGCTGCACGGGCCGGTGTGCGCAAGCGCACACTGCCCGCTCAGCATTGCAGTCATCGGAAGCCCTCCCCTCAGCGGGTCCAAGATGGGCAGATCGTACAAGCTTTTAATTACCTTACAACCATCGCAAGATGAAGTCTTGCAATGGTTGTAAAGTGTATGGCCAGCTTAATTGTGATTGGCAGCCTCGAAGACTAATGCAGATGCTCAAGGGATGAAAGGTAAGGAGTACTAAGCTCCATTTTTTCAGAAAAGACTCAGATATACTTAGAACTTTAGCTGCTTTTATCTGTTTTTGACAGTATTTAACCTTAAAATCCGGCCTAAATCATAAAACAACTAGGTGCCTATTCCATTTACTAATCTGACACCCCTCTCTGTGCACTGCTCTGATCCTGGAAGCTTTTGGTCACTAGGGGCTTCTCTACTTAAATGATTAGCTCCACCCACCAGTTGTCCCCCACAAGTCAGTAGCAGCAAGATGCCAGGGAGCTTTGAAATACTTTATATTACCTAAGGCTCAGTTACTAACAAGCCTCTTTCCTTGTAGGGTCCATGGCAAACTTAATTTGTAACCCCTTCCTTAAAATATTTACATGCAGCCTGCGTTTATTTTGTCCCCCAGTGACCTCACCTTCATCCTAACATCTTTGGTCACCAGTCAAACACTGAGGCTACATTTGTACATGCAGGACTGGCTGAATTTGCAGCGGTCACCCATCCTTGCTGTCAAAACATATAATATCATTGCACCGCAGCCTCTCGATTCCTAAACCTGTCATTTTATTCATGTCAAATTACACAGCAGAAAACAAAACAGCTGTCATAATTAGAGATGATTGCAGAGAAATTGAAGCCGCACAGTTCTGGAGCAGAAATAGAGAATCTTTGTGCAAGGAACGCCAGAAATTCCCATGACCTCCCTGCGGCAGACTACTTCATCACTTCATACAAATAGAGGAGCTGTGTGGTCCTGATTGATCTTGCAGAGATCACTCCAGGTCGGTCTAATAAAAAGCCAAAGGCCCAAATTAACACAGCGGAGTGTAAAATAGTGAAGGATACATAACAGGGTTTGAATCTGACAGTATTTGCTCAGTACACTTATTTTGCTTGGTCCGCCCTTAATATCTAACAGTTATTATAATGACCATTTGCATAGAGCTTTGAACTTCAAGGCCTCATTCACACAGGCCGTTACACCATACAGGAAGGGGTGGTCGTTGACACGCCTGGAGCTGCGGGACGCAAAAGCTGTGCGCTCTCACACGCTGTTTCCCACAGCTCCAAGTTTTGATAGCCGCACACAGAAGGTGTACAGATCTGGATCCATCATGTCTGCGTCCGAAGCTGTACACCGTCTGTGTGCAGCTGTCAAAACTCAGAGCTGCGGGAAGCAGCGAGTGAGGGTGTACAGCTCCTGTGTCTTCATAGCATTGCACGAGCTGCCCACACCCTTCTTCACACAGCCCTTCCCGCTGTATGAAGAAATAAACCCCATGTGAATGAGGCCTTGAGCTCAATTTAAATCAGCGAAATACATTCCAGATGCATCAAAACAAAAGGTGTTCATTGTCTTACAGTTTGGCTTCATTCTATAGTAGCCACAGTCTAAGTATATCGGGAAAAATAAGTCAAGGCAACTGGACTTGCTGTATTTTTCTTGAAGACATTTCACTGGTCATCCAACCAGCTTTCTCAGTTCAAAAATACCGAGTAGAAAAGCCTGTCCCCTGCTGGCAGATGCAGATTGGGAGTCTTGCTTTCTTTGTGAAGGTTTGCAATGAACAAATCAAATAAAAACAATTGTAATAGGTCAACACAACGAATGTTTCAAGTGGTTTCCCCAAATTCAACTGAAAACTTTTCATGACTTCTGCAGTCTCAACATTCTTCTTGATAGAAATACACCACCTACTCCTACTTCTGATTGATGGATTACATTGATGATGCCATACCCAAGGAGACTGCAGGCCACACTGGCTGAACATCGACAAGTATCACCTGCAATCTTTGTTACTATATCTTGCAGGCAACATTGAACCACCTGCTTGAAATTAGGAGCAGCATTGTCAGCCTTATGTGTGCTGGAAACAGCCCACTGCCAATGGGAGGCAGCCCGATGACCAGCCCACTGCCAATGGGAGGCAGCCCGAGTGCGCACGGCAGGCTGACAATGCTAAGGCCTCATTCACACAGCAGTCGGCCCGTACAGATCCGTGTGGCATGCACGGCCGTATTGGTCCGCTCCCGGTAAGGACAGGTGCTGCATGTGATTTGTACGCAGCAGTCTGTTCTTCTCAATGGGAGTATATGGCCGTGTGCTCACCCGAACTGCATATCCGTGCAGGTGCACGTGTCTGTACTCGTACACAGACAGGGTGGATCCTGTCTGCGTCTGAGCACAGACAACCGCACCGATGTGCAGTTCCGGTGAGTGTACGGCGGCGTACTCCCAAAGAGAAGAACAGGCTGCTGCATACAAATCACACGCAGCACCCGTCCTTCCTGGGAGCAGCCCGATAAGGCCGTGCATGCCGCACGGATCTGTATGGGCCAACATTTAGCTGTGTTAATGAGGCCTAAGCCAGTGTCTTGCAATTGGCAGCATTGTCATGCTGCCAGGCATCCCAATGACCAACTTAAGGAGTGCGCACATCAGGCTGACAACGCTAAGCCACTGTCTTGAAATTGGCAGCATTGTTAGCCTCCCATGCGCACACTCCTTAAGTTGGTCATTGGGCTGCATCCTCCCTCTCTGCCGGAAGCAGAAAATGCTGGTACTGGCAGGATATTCACACAAAATAATTGGCTTAAAAAACTGAGACATGATGAGAAATGGATTTTGGGTTTACGCTTAAACAGCATATAGTAACAAAGATTGCAAAAGAGATTGGTTTCCTATAGCAACCATTACACATTATTTTCAAACCCAGACTGGAAGCATGACAGGGGAAAGCTGATTGGTTGCTATTTGCAACAAGACCTTTACCACAGTCTTTAGACATCAGACCCATAATAAGGAGGACACTGACCATCCTTTTTCCCTGTAGCAAAAATGCATATTTACATATGGTTAACAATGTAACTATGGTGTGCCATGCTGGTTCTATATATAATGATCTAAAAATAAACACATGCAGCATATACTTTGAAACAATAAAAAATGTGTAGTGATGTCTCCTGAGCCTCGTAATAAATGAGCCCTTTCATTCCCCTTGCCCCATCCCTTCACAATGTGAATAATAACAATTGCTGGCTACGGAATGTGTAGAATACCAGAGCAGCCTCTCCCAGCTTCCTGCTGTACACACCTGCTGTTCAGTTCAGAAACAGGCCCACCAGCAGAGGAGGACGCACACATACCATCACATATACACGTACACACAATAATGAGACAAACCCAACATCAAAACCCTATAAAATAAATTCCCCTTTTGCAGCCAAATTGGGAGTACATATACTTTATATTTCTCACATGTTCCCATTCACAAAATATAAAAAAATTGCTGCTTAAATTTTTAAGTGCTTCTTATTTGCCGAAAAATGCTGCCTAGCTTCCCCCCTATGTAACGTAAAGGAGGCGACAGTAAGAAGTCAAGGGTTAAGTGCTTGTTTTGTTTAGGGGCCTTAAATAAAGCAGATATATTCACCTGATCCTCAGTCCAGCAGGGCTGCTAGACTAGTCACGTCAGAGTCTTCTCCCCTGGACTTATTTCATCACATCTAATGCAGGTCCATTGACATGCATTGGATGTAAGGACGCAGAGAGACATTCCATGTCTGGTGTGGAGGGGGAGAAAGGTTAGCGCTGACTGCTGATTTTTCTCAAATTGCTGCCCAGCATAGCAAAGCATCTTAGGTTAAACTGACAGATGATCTCCAGAAATGTACATTATTCACGCTATTCTACTAGTGACATATTACACGCACTCACTAGCCACTTTATTAGGTACACCTTGCTAGTACCGGGTTGGACCCCCTTTTGTCTTCAGAACTGCCTTAATTTTTCATGGCATAGATATAACAAGGTGCTGGAAACATTCCTTAGGGGGTTTGGTCCATATTGACATGATAGAATCCCGAAGTTGCTGCAGATTTGTCAGCTGCACATCCAT